TTCAATGGTCTCAAGTTTGATTTTCACGGTGCAAAAAGGCTAAAGTGAGCTTAATACGCATAGTTTCCAGGGTGATTGCTTATATAATTTTGGATAAATTACAAAAACACTTTTTAAGATTTACTTTTAATACGAATTGCCTCCCGTAGTTCTGAAAATTACACTACACTTCCTAAAGGTTTTAATTTTATAACAAATGACATATTTTATTAATAAATCATTAAATTAGTTAATAGTTTTTAATGATGTTAAAAATTTATTTTAATAAATAATTCAAGTAATTTTATTATTATGTAGGAAAACAGTTAGAAATTTCATTTTTTCAATTAATTTTGTTAAATAAAAAATTCTGACAAGTAAGCATTTGTAATTTCCAAACCACGAGTACAATCTGTATTTTTAAGCAATCCTTTAGAGGTGTTTTTGTAATCAGGGGAATTGCTTGTCAGTGGGAGAAGAAAAAAAAAATTGCCAAACATAGAAGAATGATTCATGCAGCCGATCCCATTTGATTGGGACTTAAGGCTTGGTTTGGTTTGGTTTGGTTTATAGAAGGTCCAAACTGTTCTATGGTGTGGTGCAAGTGAAAACTTGTGGGGAATTTGGATAAATTACAAATATACCCTTTAAGGTTTACTTAAAATATGAATAACTCTCAGTGGTTTTGAAAATTACATCACGCCTTTTGAAATTTCTAATTTCATAACAAATAATCTTTTTTATTAATAAATCATAACAGTTTTTAATGATGTTAAAAAAATATTTTAATTAATAATTCAAGTAATTTTATTATTGTATAAAAGAGCAGTTAAGAATTTCATTTTTTCAATTAATTTCGTTAAATAAAAAATTCTGACAATGGAGTATTTATAATTTTCTAAATCACAGAAGGCAATCTATATTTTTAAGCAAATCTTTAAGATTGTATTTGTAATTAGGGAAATTGCTTGTCAGTGGAAGAGGGAAAAAAAAAAAGAGGACAATTATGTTTACACACCACAATCACTCTTAGTTCACGCCATTATCTCACATATATATATATATATATATTTTTAATTACCATTATGTCCTTCAATGAAATTAGCTTTTAGGACAAAACCCTAAATTCCCTCAACCACACGAGACACCATCATCATCAACAACAGCCACCAGTCATTTCTTTCTCAACCTAGTCACTATCGCCGCCGCTTTCCAACTCCATCCTTGTCTTCGCCACCATGCAACCACTACCATCTTCGTCGACCCACCACCATTGTGCTTTCAAACCCTAACAACTTAACACCATCGCAACTCACCTCCGATTAGCGACTGATCACACGAAGTCCATATATGTTTGAAGAGAAGAGAAAGAGAGAGAGATTTGTGGCGCTGTGACAACGGAATTACAATCGGTAGAGGCTGCGGTGTGGTGGAGTAGCAGCGATAGGGGCTACAATGGTAGTGAGGCAACGGAGGTAAGAGATGGTGACCGGAGAGGTCAGGTAGGGGCACCAAGGAAGGAAGGAAGTGTTGAAATGAGGAGGGGAGAAGAGTAGTTGTCGGCGACCGGCGGTGGACAGTGGCCAAGGAATAGGGTTAGGATTTGTTTGAGGAGATGAGGGTAATATGGTATTATATGAAAATTGGTGGTGTGTATTGAGATAAAATCAATATATTTAATTTGTGTGTGGTGTGCACTGAATAAATGGTATGTACTGAAAGTAATTGTAGTGTGTAAATAGAAACACCAATATATATATATATATATATTTGCCAAAACATGAAAGGTGCAAATTGTTCTATGGTGAAGTACAAGTGAAAATTTGTAAGAATGCCAGTCCCCCATGTTTATGCAAAATTTTCTTTTTTTATTTCACTGTAAAGTAATTTTTCCTTTGTAATTTATCCTATAATTTTATATGAAATGATGTCCAGACTCCAGATCATAAAAATAAAATGATTAATTGTTTGTTCCAATTTATTTGATTAGGGCACACATATTCTTATAGGATCCTCACTTTGATTCTTCTATTAGTTTATACTAAACTCCAAAGTAAAAGTTACTTTTTAAAAACCTTTTGGAAACTTTAGTAGACTATCAATATGCTTTCCAATTAGACTTTCAAATATAAATTTTGGAAAGGTGGAGCCCATATTGGAGCTAAATTGAGATATCAAATTCCTTTATACTGTGTTTGGTTGAGAGATTTGAGAAAAGATTTGAAAAAGAAAAAAAAAAAGTATGTGAAAACATTTCACTATCCTTTTTTATTTCTATTTCCCAATTCTTTTTTAAATCTTCTAACTAAACACAGCCTCAGTGAAGGAGTCCTTTAAACAAATAAGGTGATTGTTTTCCCAAAATAATGACAAGGTTAAAGAAAACACAGGAAGAAAATGAAAAGAAAAAAAAGCATCCTATTGTGACATTATGACCTTATAGTTTCTTGCTTTTACATAATGGCAAACAAAAAATATAAAAACATTGAATGCAATATTCTTTTGAGTGAAATGTGTATTGGCTTAGATATACAATTAGGATAATTAATATAATCTTTTGAGTATAGAGCGCATTCTTGTATGCTTAGAGGGAACAATTTGGCAAGTTGTAATCTAAAATTGACAAGGATAGGTAATTTCTTATGCTCAAATTTTTTACTTGAAAAGTCCAATCGTATTTCTTTCACTGGGCCTCAAAAGTATGTAAAAGCAATTACAATTCAAGTTCAAGTAAGTAAAGTAGGCAATTTGTTGTGCTTTGAATTATTTCCCAAAAATGGAATGTGGATATGAACAAATGGAAACGAACAACACTAGGAAAACCAATAAATAAATAAATAAAATAGAAGAAGTGAAAATGTTACTATAAGTAACACCACATTGAGGTGTCAAAATATCCTCTATCTACTCTTTCTTATTTTATTGTCTTAGGTCATCTCCTTATCATACAATTAATCTCGCTGTCTTGATCATATAGTGGAGAAGTAACTTAGGACAGATGATAGAAAAGATTCCATTTTACACATAGCACATAAGTAGATGACAAAATGGAGGTAAACTACAATGACACGGCACCATAGGTCACAAGACTATACACATATATATGTTGGTGTTTAAATGTATTTATATTATTTTAATTTTAAATTGGTATTAAGCCATGTGATATTGGTATCATCATTTCTGCTATATTTCTGTGTTGAATGATATAATCAGTTAAGAGCAATTGAAGAGAATCTAATGCTCTTTCATCCATTAATTTGGTGTAATTGTATTTTGCATTGATGGAGTTGAATGGAAATTGGAAAGGTGAGAATTGCTTGGAACAAGTGCAACAGGTGGTGAATTTACTTAAACACTTACTCAGATTTTTTTTTATTTTTATTATTTTTTTATTTTTAACTTATCAGCAAAGAGAATAAACTTTATCGATGTACTTTGGGTTTGATTATTTATTCTTCTATATATAATACCATATATACAGATATTATAGTGTGACCAGCTCCTCTATAATTTTGTATTGTGATTATGAAGAGAGTTATCAGATAATTTGTAAAGGTGTTTTTTTACAGTAGAGTTTTAGACTTAACAACTTGTGCAAGAGTGATCTGAGTCAATACAACTATAAGTCGGACTATAGTTAACATGTACTGTTCTGTTACACCGGAAATAAAGGTTTTGATCAACCAAGAAGAGTTTGAATTTCTTTAAAGAGAGCAAAATTATGGTGTCTAAGGCCGAATTATTGTATATCCATGTGATGTAGGTGCTATCATTTTAGTGATAGTGGATATTTTATAAACACATATTTGATATAGCAGACGAGACGAGGACATAGGCAAAGTTACCCAAACCACATAAATTTTGAAATCTTTTCATAATGATTTTATGATTCTTACCAATATTTATTTTTGATTTCATAATTATTTATTTATTTTGATTATTGTAACAACCCAATGTATTCTCATGTGAAAGAAATTAGGTGGCTGAGATCATAGGCCACCCGTGAGGATATATGCCTTTGGGGCTTTTGTTTCTTAGACTTCAAAAAAGGAAAATTTGGCCATATATCCCTTAGGAGGCACTTTTTTTGTTTTTTGGTGAATACTTCAGGAGGCACTTATCTTGTCAAAAGGATAAGAATTATATGAATACTTTCAAACGCCGTTAGTATTTTAAAATATCCTTCTTATCATTCTCATAGTTACTGTTTGTCTCCACTATCTCAGATGAGATTGATGACTTCAGATCTGAGATTTGTTACCTTAAATTTAAAAATCGATAGTTCATTTTCTCTTTCTTTTTGACTTTGTCTCTCTCTCTCTCTCTCGCGTTCACTCATTCTCCTGTAAACCCTTATTTTTTGTTCGTTTCCTTTTTTTTATTTGTTCACAGGTAAAATCGCAAATTTTACTCTAATTCAGAGTAAAATTTTACTTTAATTCAGAGTAAATTTTATTATAAATCAAAGTAAAAATTTTGTTCTTTAACAAAAAATGAGAGCTGTGAGTGAGTTTTGGAGTACTGAATTTTTTTTGTATCCTTTTGACAAAAAATGAAAGCTTTGAGGGACTTGTGATCAAATCTTCCCAAAAAATAAATAAAATAAAAATTGATACCTTTGGATAAAGAAAGGTATAAAAAAGCCAACTGCCTGTGACACACTACAAGTTTCCTTGAAGGAGACTATTTACTTCAAAAATAAAAAAGTTTCTTAAAGGCTGCGTTTGAGTGCAAGTCTGGGTCTATTAAAATTATAATAATAAATAAACGAGTCTTTGGTTTACAATTGCAAGTAAACTTTAATTTGAGTGCCCAACTTTGTTGTTGTCATTACAAAAAAAATCGCTTATGATTGGCGTTTGTGTGAAGATGTTTTAAATAATGTAGTGATATATCTCAATAATCAACGCGTGTTTCAAGGTATGATGGTCTCAATGAGCCAAGTTTATTTAACTTAACAGACACGTAACCCTATATCTATTCAAATCATTCTAGTTATTAAAAAAAACATAATCTCACCATCTCACACACCGTTCTTCTCTCTCACGATTAAAATCGATCTTTCTTACTCTAGTTGTTTTTCATCGAACTCAATCTTGATCTCTCTCGCAAATCGCATATCTGAAACCGAACAAGAAAGTCAATATAATCTAATCGAAATTTGAACTCGATCTGATCTGAGCTCTCTTGCATTTTGTTAGATCTTCTCTCGCTCTAGCTGTTTATTGAACTTGATCTATCTCGCAAATCGCAGATCCAAAATCGAACAAGAAAGTTGATCTGATTTGATAGAAATCTGAACTCGATCTGATCTGATCTCTCTCGCATTTTGTTAGATCTGCCGATTAACAAGGTTTAAAGCAAGCCATTGTTATTTTGTTTTTCACTTACAAGTGTTAATCGGTGTTTGAGTTTGAACTATCAGATATACTTTCTCATTGTCAAATTAGATTTGTTGATTAACTATTTATTTTTCCACTCTCAGATTAGATCGATTGAATAGATCGATCTCTCTTACTCTTTATCTCTTGTACATTTTTCAGATCAATTAGTTCCTCTTCAAAAGTGATTAATCTCTCTTACTTCTGTTTGGAATTTAGGCATGGTGGAATTCAATATGTGATACAAGTGATGATACACTGATGGATTTAAAGTTAATTTTGATAGTTTTTGATCACAACATACACATGCAAGCTAAACAAGTCATAATCATACCGATGCTCATGAACATGATGAGGACATAAAGTGTGGGTTCCTACAGTTTTTGTATAATTAAATTTTTTGATTTACATAGTATCAACACCATCTAAATCATAGCAACAAAAAATATGAAAATAGTTTATTTTCATCAATTTAGTTAAAATAGTTTATGTATGATTATTTTTTTGATTTACTTTTTTTGAAAATTGATAACTTTTTTCCCTATTCTTAAATTCCGTTTAGTCATACTTTGTTTGATACGCGTTTTAATACTATTCATTCTCTGAAGAAAATAGATAGTGCACATAGCTTCAAATCTAATGTTGCTATGATTGTTTGTTTAATTTTGTTTTATTATTAGTGATTTTGATTATATATATCTATATCTATATATATATATATATTTGTGAATCTGCTTTCTTATTGGATAGTGTAAACTATGTTTTTTTCTTCTTCTTTTGCAGATCGATGCGGTACTTTAACTGGTTCTATAAGGACAAGGTACTTATTTTTTCTGATTAATATGCTTTGGGTTGCAATTCTAGGTTGTTTCCTTATTCATTGTGCGGAAAACATTGAATGTGTAGGTCAATTTCTAGTCTCTCTGATTCATTCTCTTCTTCATTCTTTATGATTTTAGTGCAATATACAATGCAAATATATCTTTTGCTTTTATTATAATTTGTATAAGAACTATATTATAATCTTGGTTGCATATTTTTTTGTATGTACATGAAAGGTGATGGTTCTATGGATCTTGATTTGTTTGTGAGGATTCACTGATACCACACAATTGTGATTTGGTTATTACAATGCCTAGATCTTGGATGAACCTTAGAGATACCCCTGTTTCTCTTATCTCTTCTAACATGGATGAACAAACCATTATGGCCCAATATCTCATATATGCACCTTAAAGAATTTTTTTTTAAAATTTTTTTTTCTGGAATTAATTTACTCTGTGAAACTTGTACCTAGGACTAGTGTCTCTTTTGCTTTACTACAAGGACAATAAGCTATTTATGATAGTCTGATTCAGGATTTTTTTTCCTTTGTGTCGATAGCTCAAATTTTATTTGAACATTCTCTAATGAATGATATCCTTGCTTTCCCATACTGGTTATTCTCTAAAACTCTTAATATGTACTATTAATCTAGTCATTGTGCTCTCATGTGACCCATTTTATTTGGAACACAAGGCTTTTCTTTGTTGAAAAGTTGATATCCCATGATCAGTAAGAATGCATTTTTAATGAGCAATATTTTTGCTATGCTTGTTTATGCATATAAACTAGCAAATTAGCACTACGCCAAAACAGGGCATTAACGGCGGTAACGAAAACCGCCGTTAAAGGTACTATTAACGGCGGTAACGAAAACTGCCGTTAATACCGCCGTTAATGACCGCGGTATTAACGACGGTAATGAAACCCACTTTTAACGGCGGTAACGAAACCGCCGTTAATGCCCACTTTTAACGGCGGTAACAAAACCGCCGCTAATGCCCAATCATTACCGCCGTTAATGACGGCGGTCTTTGCCGGCGGAGCTCCGGCGAAACTCCGACGTGCTCCGGCGAAACTCCGGCGAGCTCCGGCGAGCTCCAGCGAAACCATCTACAATAAAGTAAAAGTAATGTTTAAATATTTATTTAGGGAATATATTTCATGAAGAGTGGTTGTGGCAGAGTAGTTGGTGTTGGTGGATGAGAGGTCTTGGGTTCAAAACTTGGGGAGTGCAAGAAAAAAGAATTATTTTTTGAAAAATTTGAACCTATTTACGGTGGTAAAAAACAGCCGTTTTTGGTCGGCTTTTAACGACGGTAATTTGCCTTTTTACGACGGTTTCACTTTTTTCGACACACGCATAAACGGCAGTAACGAAACCGCCGTTAATACCGCCGTTAAATACCACCGTTAAAGGCTTTAACGGCGGTTTTACAGCCTTTAACGGCGGTAAAAAACCGCCGCTAAAGCCCAATTTTGGCGTAGTGTAGTTACATTTTAACGAGCAGCCTTCTGGGGTAGCTAGGGCAAAAAATGTATCACAAATATATTCTTCATTAACAGGTCATCAATGACTAATTTTGTAATCATTTTCTTTTTGTTTGGTTTATTTTATTTTATTTTTTTGATTGACAATGCTTTTGGATCCCAATATGCGCATCAAGGATCACGATTGAAAGCTGATTATGAGGTGACTTCGGACAAGGGTGGCTTCTTTCGATTTGCTAGGAATGAAACACAGGAAAAGAGTAGCCAGATGCCACCATTGGGTGTAGGAAATTATATAAGTGAAGCTCCTAAACATCAATCACATTTTTCTCACTTTAGTCCTGACAATGCGCGCTCTAAGAGATTCAAGGTTGGAAACACTACACGTAGTACAAGTAAATGCCACTATATGTGCTAAAGATGCTTTTATTTCACAAGAAGGCATACAATTATGTTCATAGACATTTAAAAATATATGATTTGAATAGATGAAACATCAATTTTTGCAATATCTTGTATTCATTCTCCTTTGATATAGAAAGTTTATTGATACTATTAAACTGGAAAAATCACTCTAGATAAACTGACGGTGCCAAATACTTGTTTCCAAATGCAGGAATAAGGAAGCGAATGGATTTCTTAAAAGAGAAGTGAGCCCAAAAAATGGAAGCAGAGTTCTGGTATAGTTCAACAATTTAGAATTTGAAGCTTTGCATGGCCCCATTTGTTGTACAATATTTATTTTTTGATCACTTGTCAAATATTCTTAGATTTATGGTTCAAATCCCATAAACTATAAAAAGAAAAATCTAAGATTTATGGTTTCTTTCTCTATTTGATTTAGTAAATGTTTTTTCTTCTTGTTGTCTTTTCTGGTTTGTTTTGGTCCAACATTTTGAACATGATACACTCTAGGCTGTGCGCAGAGTGTAGTAACTAGTGATACATATCCTATTTGGCTGTAGAATTGTTACATAGCAAAACTAAACTGGTTGATTAACTGGGGTGTGACCGCAGGCAACAACAATTCTGTTGTGTTGTCGTTGAAAGTTGCTCTAGAAAATGGGAGATAGAAAGATGGGGATACAAAAGAATTAATATATTGCTCTTGTCATACATAATGTTTCATTTTTTAGTTGATGACATGATAAAGAGTTGTTTAATACTTTGTCGAATTGCAATGGATGACCTGGTGGACAAAGTGTTCACTCTCCAAGTGTGATTGCTAGGTTTGAGTATTATTGCTATGCAATGCAACTTTTCCTTTGCCTATTAACCTCTGCTATGGATTGTAAGAAACAAAAAACAAAAACAAATACAATACTTTGCAAGAGTAGATAGTGATAGTTGATAGTTATGGTTTATCAAAATCTGTGGATGGAATGGAGATGCATCAGCTATTCGATAAAGAAATATGTTGTAATTCTTTTCTCAAATTGATTGTTAAGAATGACTATAGTTTGTTGATCAAGTTTGTTAGAATTAGTGGAAGATTGATCTTGGCTCAACAACACTTTAATCAACTATTATGTGTCCTGTAGCCCTTGGATGAGTTGCTTGGGCTTTAGTGTCCGTGTTTTCTACTAGTACTCTAGCTGTGTTTTCTCCTGGTGCTTCGGCTGTGGTTGTAGCTGTGTTGTGTTTTTATGAAATTTTCAATGACATTTTGTAATAACCCGACCCTGTCACCAACTTTACTTCCCTCATTATATGTGTGATTATATGTGTTTATGTGTTTGATGCGAAACTCCATGTTTCAATGTGTGAATTACATGTTTATCAATTTGTATCTGTCAGTTATGAGAAAATCTGTTGAAATTGTGACATTTGGACTACAAATTGAAAGCCTTAGAGGCGCGATAAACTGAAATTGATTTTACAGTTATGATGAGCATGATTTTTCGAACATATTATGAAGTTTTGTAAAAATTTGATTCATAATGAACTAATTAGATTTATTTAAATTAAGCTCTTAATTAAGCCTTAAACTTAGACTTAATGAGTGAAGTCTTGTTAGACATACAATATATACATGAGCCTTAAGCCAGACTCAACCAAACATAATAATATCTCCTGGAAAGGGTTCTAGAGAAAGAAAGAAGAGAAAAGAGAGAAGAAGAAGAGAGCTCAATATAGGAGCTTGGAATTTGGGGATTCAATGGGAAAATCAAGACAATAGCTCAAGGTAAGTGTAAATCATCTAGACTACCCATTAAACTTAGACTTAATGGGTGAAGTCTTGTTAGACATACAATATATACATGAGCCTTAAGCCAGACTCAACCAAACATAATAATTTCTCCTGGAAAGGGTTCTAGAGAAAGAAAGAAGAGAAAAGAGAGAAGAAGAAGAGAGCTCAATATAGGAGCTTGGAATTTGGGGATTCAATGGAAAAATCAAGACAATAGCTCGAGGTATGTGTAAATCATCTAGACTACCCTAAATCTCTCTCTAATTTCTTAGCATCAAGCTTTAAAATGAAGTTTTTACACTCATAGAAGTTAGGGTTTTGGAATAATGATCTTATTTGAATAATTATCATGAAATTCATAGGAATTCATGACATTGTTTGATTTAAGAGTTGATTCTTGTATTTTGAGTTTGTCTTGAGTGAGATTGAGAGAAATCACCTTCTAATCTTTAGTATTTGCATGCTTTGAACTCATATATGTATATATGTTTGTGTATGTTTGTATATATCATGTAAACATAAAGAAAATGAAGAAAATATGGAAATTAGAGTTATATATGTCAAATTAAAATAATTTATGATCTACTTGAGTTTGGGTTTCATGTTTTATGATCATATGTTGTGTTTTTGAAATAAAAATGCTTGAATTGAGCCTTAGACATGTCTTTAAAAAGCTTGAAATTGTTGGATTTTCAGACTTCTCACACAGAGCCCAAGACTACACGTGCGGGGCTCACAGCCACACGTGCAGAAAATTGGGGAGAAAAGTTGGGCATTTTGAAATAAAAGCATGTGCGGGGCCGCATGTGCGGCACACCTCTCCGCACGTGCGGTGAAGGACTTCCGCACGTGCGGTAATTGGGAAAAAATACCCTTTTTGACCCTCTGAATATATTAATGTGTATATTTGATCCATCTGAAATGCTTAAAAAGGAGTAGAAAGTGAAAGAAATGGAGAAATACTTAAAGTCAAAAAGCTAAGAAAATATGTATTGCTTATCAAGTTATGTGTATACCATGTGTAGGTCACTTGTCGGAAGGGACCGTTGCTTGACCAAATCACTGTGAGTAATAGTAGTGTAACGATATGTCGTATTTACGTATTTTTTTATTACGATTTACATATTGTTGATCATGAATGGCATACCTGATAGACGTTGTGTTTTGGTTAGAATAATTGAGCAATGGCATATGAAACGGACCCGAGGTCGTTCTGTTTCTGCTATGTATAATGGGCCCAAGGCCGTTATGTCTGATATGGATTGATTATGATTAAAGGCCCTAAGGCCGAGGGAGATGGAGACATGTCGATGTTCGAACTACCCTATAATGTTTAAAACAGTTGTTGATATGTTGGGCCTGAGGCCGTTGTGTACCATGTTAAGCCTAAGGTTGTTCTGTACTATATTGGGCCTAAGGCCGTTCCGTGTTATGTTGGGCCTAAGGTCGTTCTGTATCACGTTGGGCCCAAGGCCATTTCGTCTTATGTGGGCCCCGAGGCTGTTTTGGAATGTGATTACGAATAAGACATATATATGATTTATATCTTTATTCTGCAAGACATATGCTTATTCATATAAACCTCCTTGCATTATTATTACTCACTGAACCTTGCTCACTCCATATATATATATATATATATTTATGTAGGTGATTAGCCCAGAGGCCAGCCCTACGTCAGCTTCAAGAGCCTTTTTGATGGACCTGTTTTGTTAAGCCTCCAAAGTTGGAGCCCTTTTGTTTGTTTTGTGGGGAGTTCCTTTGACGCCACATTTTTGTTCAAATTTTGGTGGCTTTTATTGGACTCTTGGTCAATATGTAATTTTTGGGCTTCTAACTTTTTGTATGTACCTACATGTCATGGATTTGTATATAGATATAAACTATGTATGTGAACTCTCTCTCTATATTTGTGACTTGATGTTTAAAATCCTAGTATATAAGCACTGCTCAATGGACGTTTTGTTATTTATTTGCTTCTTCTTTAGGCCCCTTTATGATAAATTCTTTGTATCTGTCTAAGGCCATAAGTAATCAAGGGGTTACTGGCCGGTCATGATCCAAACTTTTAAGAACGGGTTTGGGTCGTGACCCGGCAAGGGGTGACATCGGCTAACAAAAGAACCTCGACAACTAAGGTGACAATGACCTCGGCTAGGAAGGACAACACTTGACTGACCTGTGCCACATCTTGGCCTAGATGCGCCACACCTCGGCCTAGGTCATACCACTCCAGGACGAGATCACTTGGGTGCAAGGTAACATCTCGGCTAATGTGTCAAGGCAAGGACGGAGGTCGATAAGGGTTCCAAGATACTTCTAGACTGAGGATGACCTCGGCTTGGAATGATCTAGGCGTAACGTAACCTAGGCTTGGAATAACATCGGCTAATACTCAGGCAAGGCGTGACCTAAGTTTCACATCAAGGAAGGAACAAGATAAGCACACTACACTTAGACAAATCACAAGGCTTCAAAACAAGGCATGGATCACATTCGCTCAAGCGAAACAAATCACACACATACACATGCAAGCTTAACAAGTCATATTCATACCGATGCTCATGAACATGATGAGGACATAAAACGTGGGTTCCTACACTTTTATTGGACTCTTGGTCAATATGTAATTTTTGGGCTTCTAACTTTTTGTATGTACCTACATGTCATGGATTTGTATATAGATATAAACTATGTATGTGAACTCTCTCTCTATATTTGTGACTTGATGTTTAAAATCCTGGTATATAAGCACTGCTCAATGGACGTTTTGTTATTTATTTGCTTCTTCTTTAGGCCCCTTTATGATAAATTCTTTGTATCTGTCTAAGGCCATAAGTAATCAAGGGGTTACTGGCCGGTCATGATCCAAACTTTTAAGAACGGGTTTGGGTCGTGACAGTTGGTATCAAAGCACGCGTTATTCCCTCACACACGGGTCCATTTGAGCTTTAAGGAGTCTAAAAAAGACTTAGGTTCCCTTCATGTTACTTTCTTCTGATATGGATACACTATGGAATATAGTAACATGATTTGTAGATATGAACAATGCTATGGAGTATGAAATAGATAGTGTTAGTGTGTATTTGTGTATCTTTTCTATATGTATTATAATCCATTTCTATATAAATCATGGTGAGAATGACAACAGATGAAGTGGGGGATTCTACCTCTGCACAGCTTGATATGTTGGAAATGATGACTATGGATATAGCAGAAGCTATGTGACAACAACAACAACAACAACAACAACAGCAACCACCACCGCCACTAGTGCCTATACCACCACCAGTGGTGCAAGATCATCAAGCCGAGGATCGAACAATTGCACTTACGAAAGAGTTCAAGAAGATAAAACTGCCTTTGTTCAAGGGGGGAATTGATCCAATGAAAGTAGAGGCATGGGTACTTGGTATAAAAAAATTGTTTGAGGTCTTTCCATGCACCTAAGCATAGAAAGTACAGCTTGCCGCATTTACTCTCGAAGACGAAGCACAAAGATGGTAGGTGCTTACTAGAACTAAACATCAAGGATTGAATTGGGCTTGATTTTTGGAGCTTTTCTATGAAAAGTATTTTCCACAATGTATGCGAGATAAGAAAGTGATAGAGTTTGAGACTTTGAGCCAAGGGAATAAGACCGTTGCGGAGTATGAAGCACAATTTGCAGAGTTAGCCCGATTTGCACCACATATGGTGGATACAGGCTACAAGAAAGCAAGAAAGTTTGAAGGAGGATTTCGGAATGCCATCCTAGACCGGATTAATGTGTTGAAATTGCCTACATATGTTGATGTGATAGAAATGGTGATAATGGCTGAAGGTAATAGCAGATCAAGAATCTAACCTTAGAACACGGATAAAGAGACAGAATACGCAAGTACCAAGAGGACTGGTGTCATTACAGAATAAGAAACCGAATTTGGAGACCTCTAGTATTTCCGCCTCTACGTGTGACTCAGCGCCCATTTGTCTAGAATGTGGGAAGAGACATCGCAGGACTTGTTATCGGGTAACTGGGGCATGTTTCAAGTGGGGAAAGACGGGGTCACTTAGTGAGAGATTACCCTCAGAAAGACTGAAAAAATGGGAATAGAACCACTACAAGTTCAGCCAGCTCAACTCCAGCTCCAACTACAAAGATTGCAACAAAACCCACCAATACCAGAGATAATGCTAGACAAGGACAAGTGTTTTCCCTCATTCCTGGTGATGACCAAAGCTTGAACTTTTTTGATTAAAATGTTCACCTCTAAAGGCTCTACACTTTATCTCAAAGCACCATAGTGGCGAGACTCACTGATTAAGGTAATTCGGAGATTCAATGCAAGAAATATGGAGAGAGAGACTTGAAAAATCAGTCTGGAGACCTTTTAAAGAGAGAGATCAGAAAAGTGACAAAAAAATCTTTTTCCCGCAACTTTATACTAACAAACCGTTGAGCAACCAAAACACCATTCGAGTGTCAGACGAGAACACCGCTCGAGTGACCAAACAATTACTTAAGTGAAAAAACCAAATTTCTAGAACATTAACCCTGTAGAATAGATAGCTCGAGCGAACTAACCACTGCTCGAGCGAGTGATGACCCCTCTCAAAAGTTAAGACCTGCAAAGAGACCGCTTGAGTGAAGAATACCATACTCCTAGAAGTTCAAACTATGAACACAAAATTCTAGGAGAAACGAAAGACCACTCGAGCCAAAAAAAAAAACTGCTCAAGTGAACAAAAGAATAAACTGACGGAATTTCCTTTAAAATATTAACTCCCTACCTGTTCAAAGCATAACCTAACAATTCAAACATCCACTCTTAACCAACTACAAAACTAGAAGGTGTTTAAACAACAACATCAACAATAAATAGGTACCAGATTTCAAATCAAATAGTATAAAGGAGTCGGGTCTTCACCCCGGACTGTTATAGTTCAAATCAATGTTTTCAATATTTATATCGAAACCAACCATCTCAGTGTCATCCATAATGTGCAAGTCTTCAAAACTAATTGATTTCAATGTTCTTAAACCCTAAATCTTCAAAAGCAATGATGTTTTGAGTTCAAAAAATAAGTATAATAGAGAATAGAATAAAGTAAGCTAATTGATAATGAATTTTATCATAAGTGTATGCTATTGGTGAATCTGATGAAGAAATACAATGTTTATATGTTAAAACTCTAAACCTTATAGTAATGATGGTGTGTAAAGCGTATTTTATATTTTTAAATATGAAATTTTTGAATGGGTAAAATACACCTCATGTTGTCCTTAATGGTAATTTCATTGGAGAATATTATTGGAATATAAATTTAATCTATTAATGGTGTGTATTAACAGTATTAGTGGTTCGTAAATAGAATCATCCAAATATATGTCCATGTGTATGTATAGTTCGAAGAGAGCAAATCTACATTTTGCTCTGCCTCAATCTTGCTTTTCCACAATCCCTTGAAGTCTCTCTCCTCTCTCTTTCACTGAGAATGTCTGAACCTGTATTCTTGAACAAATAAGTTATGTTTG